GGGAGGAAACAGTTTTCTGCACAAGTAAATCCAAATAGTCTCCTGGGGCTGAGAGCAACAATAATTTATTTGCCTCTTTTAAATCAAAACTGGATTTTGGGTTTTTTTTTAATTTTTATTTTTTAAAGGTCTTTTTTCTTTCTTTCATCTCTTTGCCTCCTGCTTCTCACTGCTTTGACCAGCAGCAGCCTGTGGTTATAGCTCCTGATGTGAACAGCTCTCGGGGGCCCTGTGGCTGTCCATCCTTTGCAGCTTTCCTTTGGCAGGTGTTGCTGAGAGGCCTCACCAGAGCAGCCTTTTCATCTAACTCAGCAATGCAGAAAATTACAAGGCAATCAAAACTTGGAGCCCATCTGGGAAGAGTTTATTTTTTAATTGGGGGACTGCAGAGGGCCCACAAGTTAGGGAAGTGGTTTCCAGAATTTATGTGGTGATGCACATGGGCACAAATGCATGCCTAGGAGAGTCTTCTTTAAAACTTAGCCTCTTTACAGGGATTATGCAACTTTTTAAGGACCCAGTATAGTGGGGCTAACTGGGCCTAAGGAGGGTTGTCACTGATGCTCCTGTGTTCCCTGGCCCAGGTAGTGAGAAGCTGCTGGGGCTACTTCAAGCAGCAGGTAGGAGCCAGGGCTTTCTTCTGAAGGAAACAGAAAGTCTTCAGGTTGCAAAAGATTATCGGACTCCTCCATGGAGCCACCAGCACGGGATGACCCAAGTTATCCAATTACAAGGTGCAAATATGTTTGTTGTTTGGGTTGAAATGCAGACCATTTTCGTTTTCAATGCCTCCCATTCCCTGAAAACACACAGCTGCTGTTTTGGAAGGCAGGGACTTTTTACCCACCTTTATCCTCTCCATACTGATAACTTTTACTGGATTTGCTATGATTTCCTTAAAGTTTTAGTGATCTAGGAATGAAAAGCATTAGCTGAGAGCTAGATATTCCTGCTCTCATCATCATGATCATTACTAGCCATGCCACCTGAGCGTGGCCACCTCTGAGGCTTGGCATGTGAGGATTCTTGTTGAGCTGCAGTCTTTCCTCTGCTCCGCAGCAAGCCTGGCCCAGCGGCACGCAGCAGATCCTGCTCCCTCCCGCCTGGCAGCAGCTCACTGGAGTCGCCACCCACACGTCTGTCCAGCACGCGACCGTCATCCCCGAGTCCATGGCCGGGACCCAGCCCCTGGCAGACTGGAGGTAAATGGGGAGCTCTCAGAAGGCGCCTATGTGTCTGTGAGACATCTGCCCATGTGTGTTTCTGAGGTGGCCTCCAAACTGGGGCAGTTTCTGATAGGTTTTGTCTATAAGAAGTCGTTCCAAGAGCATGGTTGTGGCCATGGAGATCTAGCAGCTTGCTGGTTTTCAGGAAGCACTTCCAGATATCCTGTGTGGGCATAGGAGGGTGCGCTATAAACCCAAATCTTCTCCCTAAAGAAAAGATGAGCAGCTTCTCAATTGTAGCATTGTCCGAGTGGGATTTCAGGGCTCCCTGAAGTACTCCCCAGCTCTGGGGAAGACAGGAGAAGCGGAGGGGGCTTTGGGCAAAGCGAGCCGAGGGCGAGCATCTCACAATGGCCAATGCTGTGGAGCAAGGGGAGAGAGGGTGGAGGTGGCAGCCCCCGGCACGCACCTCTTATGGCCAGAGCTTCTTGGTTGACTGTCCTTACAACAGAGCATTATGCTCTAAGCGCTCCCTCAACTCACTTCCAGGGGGCAGGTTCTTTCCTGGGAAAAACCCTGTCAGCATGAGATGGTGGCGGGGCTGGAGATGAGATGCCAGAGGCTCCTGGAGGGAGGCGCCTTGGCGAAGCTGGTGGGAGCGTGTCAGGGAGCTGAGCAAAAGCCGCCGGTTGCATTTCCAACGTGTGCCTGTCTCCCGCCTTTGCAGAAACACGCACCGTCACGGCAGCCCCTATCATCATGCAGCAGCCCGCGCTGTTAGCTAGCCATGTGACTCTCCCCGCAGCCCAGCCCGTGAACGTGGGTGTCGCGCACGTCATGCGCCAGCCGCCCGCCACCGCCACCTCCGCCAGGAAGAGTAAGCAGCACCAGTCGGCGCCCCGGTGAGTGCGCGCGAAGGCCCGTTCCTGTCGGGGCGGCCTCTGGGGACAGCGCCGCGCGCGGGCCTGCGCCCGGGGGAGCCTTCCTTGGGCTCGCTTGATCTGCTAGCACGGCGATGAGCAACATAAAGAGTGCGCGGTGGTGCGGGTGGTGGGTGGTTTTGGTGCTGTCGGTTTGGGGTGACCGCACGCTGTTGAGTGGCGGAGCCGCTACTAAAATTGTAGGATGATTACAGTGCCTGTCACAGGTGTTCAAGAAGTACACATGGCAGGAGTCCTGTCAATTGTGAAACTAGGCCTTCTGCTGAGCTGCCCTAAATAAAAAAATAAATAAAGAGCAGGGGAGGGATCCAGAATGGGCCACCACTTGTGCAGTGATGAAAACAAAAGACCTTGTGGTTTTCCTGGGTCACTGGACAGAAGCCGGAGGAGCTCTGAGTTTGCAACAAATTTGACTCTGGTTAAGAGGCCACTGTTTAAATCCTTCCCGTTTATCCGCTCTCTAATGTTGCATTACTTTGAGTAGGCTCCAGCTGCCTTAGTCCATTCATAATGCAGAACAGAGGCAGCCATGTCCCCAGCAAGCTAAGTAAAAGGGGCTGTCTGTTGCCATGAATGGGCCTGAGCAAGGTCTCTTCCCTTGCTTTGCCCTTCCTGGGCAGGGTGTCTGTGTCAAGGAGGAATCAGGTACTTTCAGAGCAACTGGTTTCTGCAGTTCTACGTTTTCATTAATGATGACGCTCTTGTATCCAAATGAGGAATGTGCTCCTTTTGAGGCATGCTGCTCATTGGTATTCAAAGAGCACTGCAAATGCTACTGTGCAGTCATTTGTTATGCAAAAGACCCCGTGTAAGTTGGAATAGTGTGATATGTCCACAATGACTTCCTTTTGATAGATGTCACCTATTCTTTTTGTTAGCTTTCAGGCCAAACTGGAAATGCAGCCCAGGCCCCACTGTAGAACAAAACCAGAACTTTGCTTTTTCTAGCATTTTTGCAGTGGGAAGAATAAATACAAGAAATAAAGAACGAAAAAAAGAAATCTTGGAGAATTAGTGAAAGGAGGACTAGTCAGTGTGCCTTGATAAATATTTGCACTGCAGACTTGCGTGTGCTGCACTCTTTGGGTCATAGATTCTGTGCTTAGACCTCTGCTCCAAGTGAGCCCCCTTTTATTTCATGCAGAGAAACTGAAGTAGGGAAACTGGAAAAAAACAAGGCTTTCTTTCCATTGCATGATAAGGATTGTTCTTTTCCTTCTGATTTATATCTGCTGCCTCTCATGGAAATGGAATGGACTGGAACCAGGTTTCTACCTTCCTGCCTGGCTGCTGTAGTCCATGGGACACCGCTGCCCTAGAGTGAGAAGCATTGGCTTGTTAGTTGCAAAAAAAAATCTTAAACATGAAATTGAATTTTCAACTAAAGACAACAACAACAAAAAAGACACAACAGTTTTCATCATAAGTGCTTGTTGATTTCCACAACAAATTCTAAACCTATGTTTAACTTTTTCTGTCCAAGAAAACAAGTAGGTATTTAGACTAATATCTGGTCTTGGTGCATCATGCGACTCCTCCAATGTGTGAGAAAGGGGTTATCCCTGGAGTACTGTTTCTTCCTGTGCCAGCCTGTGTGTCCCTGGTGTGCCTGGGCTCTGCGAGTAGCCTCTGCCTCCCAGCACAAGCCATCCCGAGGAGCTCCCAAGAGGCAGCATTTCCGATTTGGCAATTTCTGGGGATTAAAAAAAAAAAAAAAAGAAAAAAAAACAAGTCTTGATTTATTTTTCCTGAAAGAAGCTATTCAGTCAATTCTGATAATGTCACATAAGGCATCCTGTCCTTCGAAGGGGTGACCGTGCCAGTTCTGCAGTTTTTCCAGAGCCCGTAAATCAGCGTGGGAGAAGCAGAGGCCAGGGCAACGGGGCCCGGGTTTTAACCAGCTAACGGCCTTTCCCGTTTCCAGAAACGCGTCCACCTACGAAGTGTCGTCCTCGCAGTCGCTCAGCTCCCCTCAGCGCTCGAAGCGGGTCAAGGAGAACACGCCGCCGCGCTGCGCCATGCTGCACACCAGCCCCGCGTGCAGCAGCGCGAGCAGAAGCACGCGCCCACCAGGTGAGCCGCAGCGCCGCGCCTGCGCGCTGCCTCCCCGCGCCCTTCCCCGCCTCTCCCAGGGAACGGCCGCTCTCCCTGCCTCTGCTGGAAGGAGACTTGGAGATGTGACGGTAATGATGGTAATGAGCCTCTTTAACTCAGCTGCTTAAAACAAAGACACAAATACAGGCTTGGAGGGAAGGTAGCTCAAAACGGCCTTTTCTCTTTCTAAGCGATCCAAGCAGCTACAGAGAGCATTAAATGACACCTTCTGTATATGGCATTTTCCATGAAAAGGTCCTGAAAAGCGTTAATGGTTGCAGTAAACACCTAGTAACAGTAAATACATTGCAAGGGGGTTGTTCAGTTCTGATTGTATTGACAAAACATCCATCAACTGTTGTCATGAGGGAGGTTCAGTTGATGGCTTTTGACTGGCTCTGCAGAGAGGATGGAAAAGGATGTAAAGACTGTGGCACTGGGATTGCTCCTCAGAGCAATAACTCACCCAATCCAGAGTGAAGAGCGAGGAGGCACAGGGCAGCTGCCTTTGGTGATCGGGTGCTGTGGATGAGGGAGGACTTCCTTCCCCAAGACTGTCTTTTCAGCACCTTTCATCACATAACGTGCACTCTAGGTTTCCCATCTGATGTCAGTCACAAGATGCCACTCCCTTTTAAAAGTTACCGGAGAAGCAGCCTTGCAAATAGCTGGGGAATTATGGCACCTTTAAGTTGGTAACTGAGCTGGGAATTTTCTAACCTTACACTTCTAATACTGTCAAGAGCGAAATAGGCTTCTTTTTTGTCTATTTAGGACATGTTCCACGGTAGATTTTCCTTTAATCATTAGAAATATCTCTCTGTATCTCTGCACTATGATGGTAAGTGGAACACTGAAAATGTGCACAGAACAGATGAGATGCATTTGGCCTCAAGGAACTACAAGTCTGTAAAGAGAAGCCATACGATTCAGGTGTCTATGGCTGTAATATCCGAATTCCTCCTGCTAGCGACCTCAGTTTTTCTTTCCCCTTTTGCCTACCTCAAATTTGGGGTGGTAAGAGCTCAGTGCCCCTCAGAGTCAAGCTTGCCTTGGAAGGAATCATTCATTGTAAGGTGCATTGATCACAGGACAACGTAACATACTGTATATATACATGTGTGTGCGTGCGTGTGTGTGTATATATATATATATATATGTTATAGTATTCCTTTGGTAGGCATACGTTACCTCAGACCCCAGAGGCAGAAAGTTTATTTCCAGGAAGGGCTAGGTAAAGGTCAAGTGGAAGTCAGGTGAATTAGAAATAAGGAGTCCCAACTATCAGGGTTCTTATGAGAAAAGAAGGACAAAGAGACATTGAAAACAAAGGTTGTGAGGTCAGGCAGCGTGAGGACAGCAGGTATCCCAAGGGTAAGGGGAGCTATTTGCAAGCGTGTTTACTCACACCTGGTGCCAAGTTCAGGCTTCAGGAATATTACGTGCGAGTGCTTTTGCTTGCTGCCTGCGTATCATTTTGGCCTGCAGAGGGGTGGGGAGAAGAGCCGTGATCCCGCAACCACTTTAGCTGACAGTCAACTTTGCTGCCATCTGACCAGTTTCTTCACTTAGCACCTCTCCAGGGAGACAGACAGAGCAAAGTTCTGGAAATGTCTGGAAATGAAGTTGGGAGTTGGGGGTATTTGGATGTTTGGGCAAAGTTTGCAGAGGGGTTAGCAAAGTAGTCCCAGGAGCCCAACTTAGATAAACAAACTGTCTTTCCTATGACTAAAGTGTATTCAGGACACGTTCCTGCCTGGGATCAGATCCCTGGCTACTTTTTATATCCATATGGCATATCTATACGGAGTGCCAGGACTACAGCATTCCTGGAAGGCCAAAGCTTAAGTGCTAGATTTAATTTCTAAGCAATGCAGAGACATTTTGCATGGACGCAGCCTGTTTGAAGCCACATTTTGGAATTCCAGAATGAGTTAAATTGTCTGTGTGTTTATAACCAGAGAGAGGGGAGCATTAGAGAGAGAGAAACACATGGAAAACAGCATGTCCCACAGGAGAATTTCTGGTTGAAGTCTCAGAGAGAGTGAAATCAATTTGTTCAGAGCCTTTTGACCTGGACAGACTTAAGGCCAGATTCTCAGCTGGTGTAAGAGAGTGTAGCTTTCACCCAAAACGGCCATAGCAGCATTTAATAGTCACAAACTTGGCCCCTGCCAAACAAGAGGGGTTTTCAATTGAAAGCGTGTCGCATTTAGCAAAATACCTCATAGTTTTCTTACTCATAGATTTTTTTGCCTCCAAGAAAAATGAGAGTGAAGTAAAGTATACGCTTAATGTAACCAGTACCCATATGTTCAGGATCTGCAACCAAGGTTAAAAATGAGGCTGTGCAAAGAATGCAGTCTCACCCATACTTATGCAAGAATTGCCCTCTTGGGCAATAGCTATGGTGTGGGGATGAAAAATAAAGAATAACTTGAGACTCCCTCCTGGTGACATCAGATGCTGAAATAATATTGTTGGTGACAGATCAGTTAAAACATACTGCCTGATCCCATCCGATTGATGCCGGTGGTGTCTTTGCGTTGGCTTCCTTAAGTCGGCTCGACCTCTGAATTTGGTACAAAACTCCCTTCTGTTACTTTCGGCAGGGCTAGGCATCTCTCTCTGACCTGCAAGAGGGGATTTTTTTGTTGCACTGATTGCTCAGGTAAGAGAGATTAGAGCTACCTGTGTCTGGAGAGGTTGATCCTTCGGTAGAGTGGGAGTTCATAAATCTCACTTTGGAAAAGATGGGTAACACTGATGCAGGAGATAGTTCTAGGGCAGTGAAGGAGCCCTTCAGTTTGGATTTACTCTGACAGAAAAGCCTTTTTTTTGTATAATACCAGCGCAGCAGAGAGAGCTTTTCTAGTGCAACATTTTTACAGTTGAAATAAAAATCTGAAGAATCCCATGTGATTCGGGCCATTTCCCTTCAGTTAATGGCAAACACAGCTGTGGGATGGGATTAGATGGGCCTTGCTTAAAATTGGTCCCTGTCTAAAACCCACCGAGGTCCCGCTCTGCCGGGGAGCCCCAGCGAGGTGGCCTCGGGCACGGGAGCCTTGTCCGAGGGGGCCACCTGCTGGGCCCCCAGCCGGGGACCGGGGCAGGAGCAGCCGCCACGACTGTCTCTGGGAAGGGTCGGTGCTTCGCAGGCCCGGATTTTCCATTAGATCCATTGGCTTGTCCAAACCCAGCGTTTTTGCAGGATATGTGGAGGTTTGAAAGTAACAGCTCCAACACGGTGAAATCTCGAGAAGTTTCAAGATTGCAAGCAGGTCTGTTTTGACTCTTTGTTTTCAGGGAGGAAAGTATTTTTAAGTATTTTCCGATTTTTTTTTCTTCATAATGAAAAAAAAATAGAAACATGCATTTTAAATAAAATAAAAGGGAAGTAAATATAAATATATCAAAATAAAAAAGGGACCATCTTGACTGAATGAAGCCGTTCTTACTTTGGTTCTGATGCCCGCAAAGTTTTCCGTTTGACTTTTTGTCCTATAGAAAGTAGAAAAAAATGTGCATATACAAAGCATTAAATGGACAGGAAGCCATTTCATGACCCTGTTTGCTTATCAGCAGTGGGTTATTTGACTCTCAGTTCAAGCCCCTTTGCAAAGAGATCCTGTAGGCCAAGGAGATGTTCGCTGCTGTGCTATGAAGTAATATCCTGAGTGGTATCTATTCACAAAAGCAGGCTTTGGGCCTAAATGTTATCCCTGAAGGTCTTAGTGGGGTAAAAACAGAGCACAGACCTGACAGTTTTCTTATAAATATATTCCATTTTTCTTATAAATATTGTAAGTATTTGGTGGAAGCATTTGCACTCAAATGCTGTAGCAAGAAGGTCAAGCAGATAGACAGACTGACTGACAGTGCAACTGCAGTCTCAACAGCCAGAGCAAATATCCGCAACTGGCCACCTAGTTAAGTGCTCCCCAGCCTGCACCTTCACATGGTGCAGTGGTTTAAATATAAACCTTCCCTTGATTAAATATTTCTGAAGCTAACAAGTGGGGAAAAATAAAGCAGCAACTTAAATATAGACTGGAGAGGCACAAGTGCATCTCGGGATGACTAAATTATGAATGAGAGGGAGGGAGGGAGAGGACGCGTGTGCTGGCAGCAGGGGGATATTTCCAGGTGTCTTTGTGGGCAAGAAGACTGACCACAGCTCAGTTTGGGCATACTGAGCAACTGCCTCATTGGTCATGCCCCATGGCACAAAATTCTTGCTTATTTTTTATTTAAGATGATAAAATATACAGTGAAGTCGCTGTGTGAGTCTTATTAAAGCATGAGCTGATGCAGGTCGTTATTCACCTCCTCCACGTCGTGCTGCAGTGGTGGTGGAGGCTACGTCAGAGGACATTCCTCTCGCACAGACCCGGTGTTTGCTGGAGGTCTGCCCGTTTGCAGACGGGCGTTTGGGGGAAGGGGCTAAAAATACCGTTTGTAATTCTCCCTTGACATCAGCCTATTGTGGCAATGTTACGCTGCACATAATGCACTCCCCGTGCATAGCAATGCATTGAGTAACCACGGTCAGCTGATAGCAGGGGTAAGATTGCCATCCCGCGTCTCCCAAAGACGCACCAGCATGCCACCAATGCTTAAAATAACAGAGGCAGCTCTGTCAGCAAGCTTCAGCAGCAGGACCTTTACCACCTGCTAAGCGGGTGTCTGTAAGTACCGCAGGCCCCACCAGCACGTGCTATACAGCCAAACAGAGCAGCCCTGGCGTAGCCTTCGAGGAGTTTTCATGAGTTTCAGTGTGAAGAGAGGGATTGCGGTTGTGGCTCTCGGCTGGCTCTGTGCTTTCTCGGAATAGGTGGCTTATTCCGAAGCCACAGGCTCAAAGGTGTGCGTGTGTTGTGCTTTGAGAGTGCCGGCACGCACAAGTGCCGGGGTGCGCCGCGACGCTCGCGTGGCGCGCGGCTGGGACGCACGCTTGTGGGGCAGCTGCTCTCCCGCTCCGTGCGAGGAGACTGGCGTAGCGACCTTGAGCATTGAAAGCTGGTGTTGCTGCGGCTCAGGCCACCTGGACAAGGTCTGTATTTCTGCGGGCGAAGAATGCACTGAGATTTGTGACCACTTGACTCCATTTGTTAAAATGGGCCTCTGGTAGAGCTAAGGATATGTAGGGGGAAAAAGATCCTTTTAGTGAAATGCTATCACACCACAAGCTTGAGGGATGGGCCTTCAGCAAGTAGAAGTTATCTCCTCTGAAGATGCTTTGTTTTGCAAGTGCTGTTATCCCTGTCCTTGTCCTTGGTTGTAGAGATGGTTTCAAAATTGCTTCCACAGCTAATTCTGAGCATCTTCTTTTCATTAGTGTCTTTGCTGTGCTTCTCCATGCCTGTCTTCCACACCTTCCCCTTAATAGTACCTCAGATGCCCGCCTCAGTTTCCTACCTTGCTCCCGTGCCTTTCCTCCTGCAGATTTCCCTTGGAAACCAAAAAAAAGAGCTGCTTGTTCAAAGCCATGGCACGAATTGCTTGGGGTCTGAGCTTGGGAACAAGCTCTTCAGGACAGGGTGGGAATGGGCTGCAGCTCATAAATAAATCACACGCTTACAAAGCGGCGCTTATTTGTCCAGCTGCTGTTCTGGAAGGGAGGCCGCAGCTCCAGCCGCTGCGCGTTAAAAAGCCTTCCTGACCCAGCGCTTTTTGGTTTGCGTAGATGAATTCGATGCCACTTTGGCAGCGTGCCCGCTTCCCTCCCCGGGGGAGTTGAGATGCACGTGCCCACGCGTGGCACCCGGCCGTGCGTGCCCGCTCGCCCCACAGCCGCGTCAGTCCTGCGGAGCCTGCAGGAGGCACAGCCATTACCAGGGCTGCAGAAGGCTTAGGAGGACGGGGGCAAGGCTTCGTAATAGTGTTTTTCTGTGGAAGCGCAAACATCCCTGGAGCCGTGGCTGGCTTGCAGGAACACGGCAGGCCTGCGGAGGAGGCAGGCACGACGTCAACGGGTGAAGCTCTCAGGCACCTCGTGCGTCTCTCAGTCCTGGTGTTTTGTGAGCAGGGAAGCCCATAGGCCGCGCTGGACGCCCCCCACACACACAGCTCTGCTGCCTGCAAAGTGGGGAGAGCGGCTGAGGCCTTGGAGGGAGCTGGAGGGAGGACGGTTGCTGCCTGGCTAGGAAGCAGGGAGAAGGGGGAACGCTAGCCCCTCTGGCTCACATTTTCAAAAGCCCCCGTTTCGGCACAACATGTCACTTCAAGCCTCTGAATCAACTGATTTTCAGCATGAGTTGGGCCTTTGATGCTTTTGAAATCCCCACCCTTAATCTCTCGGGTAGGCTGTGGTACAGCAGGTGCCTCGCTCTGAGCATGTGAATAGTCCCCATTGACTTCTCTGTGTTCTCCAACATTAACTGCAGTTGTTACCTTTCCTAAAGGGGGAAAAAAAAACCCATCTGCTTTCAATGGGACTGCTCATGCGCTTGAAATGATGGAGCCTGCTGAATCAAGAGGCTAATCACTTAGGCCCTAATCCTGCAAATATTTACCCACGTGCTTTAGCTCTGTTGCTGGGTGTAGTCCAGCTGACTTCAGTGGAACAACACTTGTTAGTAGTGCTAAGCTCTTACATAAGGCCTAGCAGGACAGCTCTCGCCCTTCTCCCTTTCCCATCTATAAAATGAGTTTAATATCCTGCCTGTATCCCCCTCTCCTGAAGGGTTTGGGGCTTGAGTCATTTATTTGTTTAAGCTAACAAATTTGTTTGATTTTCTTTTTGCAACCAGTGAGCTCTAACATTTTGAACAAGGCTCTGCATGAGCTCTCCCTGCTTTGACAATCCTTCAACCAAATTGGTGAAAAATGTACCCATTCTAAAACAATAATAAGTAGCTTAGATCTCACAGAAAAATAACCATCCAGCCTTTCCTGTGTCAAGTATCAGGCAAGAGCAAGTATTTCCAGTTCTGCAGCTAAGTCCCTTATGTAAGGGGCTGTAAAAGAAACAGCTAGACCTTATCAGTTGTCAGAAAACTGTTCAGTGACTTGCATTTTCCTTACAAAATGCAATAACTGTCAGAGGTGGAGAATATATAACTCCTCCCAACCAGCAGCCAAGGGGAGTTGCAAAGGGCAAGCAATGTGGATATTCATAAATGGGTGATTACAGACATTTCTATTGAAGGAGAGAGAAACACTGACACAATATTAGTCATTTTTATTGGTTCAATATTACATTTTTTTTATCACCATACCTTTCAGCAAATAGATTGTCCTTTTGAAGATACGCTGCTGCTGTTCTCGTTGTTGCAGTCCAGCGTTCCCTGACTGCTTGTGGAATGCCCCAATACTGCTCTACACCACATCCCCGTGGGAAAGGTCCCTGCTCCTGCGAGGGTTGCGTTCAACCTCCAGGCCCCTGTGCAGTAACTTCATCCCTAACTTCTTAGGTCCTTCTCTGTCTCAGTGTGTGTTTTTCACAGTGCCCAGAACCACGAGGGCTTGTGTCTTCCTTGGGGTACCCAGCATCCTGTTATTTAGCCTGGGAGAAGTCTGGAAACTTGCCCCCGATGCATTATTTAGTGGAAAAGGTAACTTGCCCGTCCCAAGTCCAGGGAGGGAGCTGCCAGCTCCCCTCGGGGCTGACCGTGCCAGAGAGTGGGGATGGAGACGAGGCTCCCCGGGAAAGGGATCTCCCTCCTGCAGAAGCGGCGCTTGAGAAGTTGAGAGATGAATTCCTTCCTCTCCATGGCGTTTCTGCTCCTGTTGGGGCTGTTTCTACCATTAAGCCTAATTACTTAGCTTTTTATGTGCTATCCATTTCTTTTCATCATTTTAAAAACTTCAGTTGCCATAACAACATAATGCAATCAGTGAAACATAGCAGCTATTTTCTGTAGTCAAGGTCTGTGCACTGTCAAGGATGTGAGACATTTAAGCAAATCTCCACCATCCCCCTTCCTCCCTCCTCTTTTTTGCTCTCTCTTTTTCTCTCCAAACAAGCTCATAACAGGAAGGAGAAACCATCAGGAATAATTAGACACAATAGTGGAGCAAATCCCAATTGTGCTCATGCAGTCTAGTCTAATGAACTTCTAGCACTAATCTTGGAAGTGTTGATGCTCCTTTTTAATCTCTTCTTTGATGTCATAGATAGATTAGCTGCAGCAGGACCTTGATAATTCGCATTAGAGTTGGGAGACCCATTGCTTCTTCAGAGGAAAGAGAGCAACCCAAAAGATTCTGTCTGGCAATATGTACTTTGCTCATTTTTACTTCATTCATTCCTCAGTTTCAAATGCTTATTGACAATATATGCCCATTGTACTATATTAGTAAATAGAATGGAGTATATTTTGTAAATTCATGGGATATAATCATGAAAATTCATGGCATCTATTATTAAACCATTGCTGGAAGGTTGGGAGAAACCGCCACATTTTTATGTGGGTGGTGAGACTTGCAACAAAGCATAGTATAACTGCTGGGCCCCTACTGCACATATATATAAAAAGCAGACTGAAAATAGATCTGGCAGTCTGGTTCAGTGCTATTCTCAGCAGTGCGAATGTAAAATCTATCCACAATGTCTTACTCACTCCTTGACCTCCAGGAAGGCTTTCCTGGAATAGCAGCAAGTGAGTTTTGAAACCCAGGATTTGGCTTAAACAGCCTTTATCTGGCCAAGAACTGAACGTTATTCTCTGCTTTACAAAGCTAGCCAGTCGGGAACAGAGTCTTCTAGTGGCTTCTGCGATGGTCATTGCCCATTCACGCTTTCCTGTTGTGTGCTTGTGTTTCAGCACCTTGTCCAAGCAAAGGAAGAACGTCATCAGCTGCGTCACTGTGCATGATTCCCCCTACTCCGATTCCTCCAGCAACAACAGCCCTTACTCAGTGCAGCATCGCGCAGGGCAGAACAACGGGAACACCTACGACATCAAAGGGGTTCCAGAGACTCACTGCAGTGGGAACCCCCGAACGATCATCGTGCCACCACTGAAAACCCAGGCCAGTGAGGTGTTGGTAGAGTGCGATAGCCTGGCGCCAGGTAAATTGCACCTCTTCCGTCAAGAGAATTAGTAAGAAATAAATGATTTATCTTGGAAGAATCTCATTGTTCGGTTTCATTTTGTTTGTTTGTTTGTTTTGTTTTCCAAAGAAACCGTGCTCCTGCCCTCCTCTCAAGTGACACATCTGTTCTTGGGAGCTGTATTGCGTTATTAATGTACTCTGGTACACGCAGGAGTCACGGGCGCAAGTGTCATTCCCAGTCACTTCTGTAATAATCCAAGAACAGAATGAAGCCTGTAGTTCAGCATATGACATAAAAGGCTCCCAAATGCAAGTGTGAACCTTTCCTGCCATGCCTTTCCGTAGGTTTACTTTAATATGGGTAGAAGATTGAAAACACAGGTGCATTTTCATCCAAAGCCTTTTTTTTTCATTTCTGGGGAGAACCCTTCCCCAGGATCTTCCTGACTGGGCGGATGAGGTTTGCTTCTCTGGAGCCTCTACAATTAGAGGCAGTATCCTGTATTGAAAAGGGGCTCCTGGTAAAGTTTGCCTGGCGCAGTAAGCTTTGAGCTGCTTGGCAGTGCTGCCATTTGACGCAGTCTTGGTGAGCGCAGAGGCTTCGGCGGTGAGCTCCCCGCTAGCTCCCTCCCTGCCTATCGCAGTGAGGTTGGCTAAGCCAGGGCCTTTTTGGGCTGTGCACACTATACTTTCCTGCCTCTCTTTGGGATTTGTGCCTGTATCTGACAGATCTCCTGGCAGAACGGCTCCTGGCGCTTCTGAAGGATCTGTAGAGCCTTCTCCAGGCCCAGTTTGGGATCCAGATGTAGGGCTTGTGTGGCTGCTTCTAGGATAACAGGCTGGGCCATGTTTACGAGACACTGTTGTGGTATTCTGCTAATTAAGAGAGAACATTTGCTTATCCTACTTCTGTTGTATGTCTCCTCCCAAAAGACACGCTTGAGGAGATTCAGTGAGAAGGTAGGGTGATCAGTTAAAGAAAATGATGTAAGCTACAAATGTGTTTCCTTTCCTGGCACAGTCACCACCAGTCACCACTCATCCTCCTACAAGTCCAAGTCCTCCAGCACCGTGACCTCCACCAGCGGTCACTCTTCAGGGAGCTCGTCTGGAGCCGTTGCCTATAGGCAGCAGCGACCAGGAGCACATTTCCAGCAGCAGCAGCCTCTTAATCTAAGCCAGGTAAGTAAACCTAGATAGATTCTGGCAGTGCATCATCAGGACATAACCCACTGCTGCACCAGCATGGGCTGTCCTGTCCCAGCCTAATAATAGTTGGGCCCCATGTTGAGCTAACTTCACTGCAAATCGTGGTCTTCTAGCTCAGGCAGGGCTGATCCCACTCCTGAGTGGGCTGGCAGTGAACTGACAGTGTATTTGGAAGTTAGGCGATCAACAGCGTGAACGGGAATAATGAAAAAGATGCCACAGCTTGGATACAAGGGAGTGGAAGAGAACCACGCAGGAAGCTCTGAATTCTCCCTAGTTAGGGGTAACTGTGGGGAGAGTATCTTCAAAATGAGGGGAGCGCGTCAGCTGCCTGCAAGCCAGGGAGAGGTCCCCAGTCAGATGTGACAAGGAGAAGCTGAGTCTCCATACATATACATGACCTGTTGTCAAGTAATGAGTTTGATCTATTCCATGGTAAATCTGCACTGAGATGGAGGCAAATCCCACTGCTTGACAGCATGCAGTTCTCAAGATGTTTCCTAGTCCATGATTGAAACACCCAGGGGGCTCCCTAAGAGCTTCAGTAAATAACGTCCTTTTCGTACGCCGCACCTGGGGCCCATCTCTCTCTGAGGTGAGGTAACAGGAGTAAGGAAGTTACAGCAGAGCGACCAACATTTCAGGAGGAGAAAGTCTGGAAAGCTCAGAGAACAACGTGGGTTTGAATACAGAGCTGAACATAAGCAGAACTCGTAAAAAATAAAAATCCTGGTGTGTGATGGGAAGGGGAAAGGATGCCCCTTCTTCCTCAAAATTTGGTTGAAACAGAAAAAAAAAAGAGTAATTTGACATACCAGTGAGTGAAAATGGAGGAAGTGGGTGAGAGATGTTCTTTTTAATAGTGGTGTTCCTGCAGTTTAGACTGCGGTGACCCAGGAGGAGGATGAAAAGGTTTGGAAAAATAGAAGGAAATAAAACGGACTGTTGTCCTTGTTTTCTAATTCCTGTTTTAGTGATTATTTAATATGCTGACATCACTGTAATTACAAATGATGGGAAAAACTCTTTGACACTATAGGGCAGTGCAAAAAGAAAAAAAATCCACGACCTTAGAAAAATCTCTGAAAAGAGCATTATTCCTGTCCTGCTGCAAGAAGTTGCCTTTGCTCAAGTAATCAGATCTCATTACATGAGAGTACCAGGCACCTTCAGGATCTGATCAGATTGAGGTTTTGTTCTCTAGAAAATAACAAAGTTACCTTATTAACCGAGGAGGTGATACAAGCAAAGACCAAAACTGATCAATAATACTTTGCCGGTCCCAGGAGCAATTAGTTGACTTCCTTCCCCGGATTTCCTCAGCAGTGAGCTCACTAACAAAAACCATGCGTTGTTGTGATGCCTGGACTTGTGGAAGACGATCTCGGGGCATCCGCGGTTGGGTCCTTTGTGGTAGCGATGTCAGCAGATCACGGTTCCATGTGGGAGACTCCACTCTCCTCCCGGGGGCCATTTTGGTGGATGCGTGAGACCACCCTAAGCGTGGGAGGGACACTCTGCCATGCCCCATTTCCAAGGGGAAACATCACCAAGATCGCGGTGATGCTGAGGGAGTCAGGAGGAGTGTGGGAAACCTTCCTGAGGCCGCCACCTTGGTTTCGGAGGGCGGCTCCCAGGTCTTGTCTTGTAACTGCCTTTGACTGTCGCTGTCTTTATCCAGGCCCAGCAGCACATCGCGACCGATCGCACAGGGAGTCACCGGAGACAGCAAGCCTACATCACTCCAACGGGCCGCTGCTCACCTGCCCACCCAACCCCACCTCTACACATACACGGCCCCCGCCGCGCTGGGCTCCACGGGCACCGTTGCTCACCTGGTGGCCTCGCAAGGGTCCGCGCGGCACGCTGTGCAGCACACCACCTACCCCGCCAGCATCGTCCACCAGGTCCCGGTCAGCATGGGCCCGCGCGTGTTGCCCTCGCCCACCATCCACCCGAGTCAATACCAGGCTCAGTTTGCCCATCAGACCTATATCAGTGCTTCTCCAGCCTCCACAGTCTACACTGGATACCCACTGAGCCCCACCAAGGTCAACCAGTACCCTTACATCTAAACACTGGAATAAGGAGCAAGAGACACACCCGACACGAGGGAGTGAGGCGGCTGCTTTTGTACTGAAGGACGTGACAAACTAACAATGCAATGGGAGGCTCGCGCGAAACTTGAACGAAGGAGACTTTAAGGAAGAGACGAGAAAGAGGAGAGAAGGGGGAGAACCAATTCTACACTTTTTATTTAAAAAAAAAAAGAAAATGGAAAAAAAGAACAGAAAAAAAAACAAAACCACAAAAAAAAACAACCATTCTGCACCAAACTAGAGAGAGAGAGAGAGAGAGAGAAGCAGAAGGACCCTCCAGTGGGGTCTTGTGTTTTGAAGAACTTCACCAATAGACTTTTAAAGGTTATTTTCATCCAATAGTGAGCTACATTTAGAAGCTGGTTGTCCAGAACACCTAAAATGAAATCCCTTAGGTTTTTAATTCAATAGGTGTGTGGATTAGGGATTTATCCAGAATTTCAAAGGTTTTATGCCCCATCTTTGCTGTGGTCGCTGTATCTTAAAACATACATGAGATTATGGGTCTTTTATGGAAATAGGAAACGGGTAAGGGAGGCCGGTGGAGGAGAGGAAGATGTTGTCCAAGCTCTCTCAATTCTGATCTAACGTTAATACGCCTAAACATACGTGGGCAGAACAGGACATACATCACTGGTCAAGATCAGAAGCAATGGGGTTGTTTTCCCTTTCCTTGAATACACTGGATAAATCCCTGAGAAATGCTATTCCTAAACAAAATCTCTAAAAATGTATGTTGGATTTCAGTTTCATTTTATTTTACTTGGGAATTTTCCTTTTAATCCCTAGCCGTTTTAGTGTAGGAGGAGACATTTTAGCTGCCCCCCGGTAGAATGTAGCACTATACAGGTCATATACCCTTTTTACTATTTTATGTTGAACTTCAACGATACCAATAGACTATTCCTCAATGTGATTGCACAAAGAAAAGTGATATAACATAGGCATGTAACAAATGTGATTGTCCAGGTATGTATGTATGTGTGTGTGTGTGTGCAGATGCTGCCTTCTCTCTGTGGTGTGTTCCTCAGCACAGCCATTACAACTGTCACAGTCTTAGTTTTACATCATTCCCTCGTAGTGCCTTACCGAACTACAGACGCAGTTTAAGGGTTTACTTCCACTGGTACTCCTAGAAACTGATTGAGGCTAGTCGGAGTTTAATCTCAGCTCATTTTCTTTTGGGGTTGTTATTGCTGATTTTCTTCTTCTGGTGGTGTTTTTTTTTTCCCCATATTGTCAATCTTAGCTCACTTGGCAAGGTGTTGGGGAGGCTGGTAGGGGTTGGAAGTGCATATGTCTGTGTCTAGCACTGTATGGGCTGGAAGTGACTGGGCTGGTTATGAGACCCAGCATGACTTCCATAGGGTCTCAGGATCTGCTTGAAGCTCCGTCTGTTTCTTTCCTATTGAAATACCAGGTTTCCTTCTGGGAAATGGAATTCTCATTCTGCTGTTTCCTAACATCTTCATGCAGTTGAAGGATAGATTCCTCCCATCTTTGCTTTAGAAATATCCAACTTGTCAAGTAGTCCTGGTTGTATGTCCCAAATGGGAGCAACAATTTAGCCCATGAAAGGGGAAAACACTAGTCATTGCCAACATCTCTCACTGCTTCCATCAATGGGAGTGGGTAGAGACGGAGATGAATTGAGAAAATCCACTTGAGAGAGTCAAACTCAAGTTTCTTAAGTGAAACGAGAATATTTTAAGACTTCGGGTCATACGCACTGTAACATAGTTGTGGCAATTTCCCCTCTTCCCTTCTCAACTACTTTGCAGAAGATTTCCTGCCATGGTACTGTGGCTCCTCCACGGCAAAGGAAAGCTACAAACTCCGGCTTTCGACAGGTTTCTGACAGGAGCCTTCTTCTAGAATTGGGTTTGGTTAGGAGGAAAGTTCTGGTGGCAACAGCAGTTTGTACCCCTGCATCAATATTCAGTAGCGTCTCTGGAGTACCCATGTGTGTGGATGGGCTTGGAAGGAAATAGAGAAAAAGAGTTTGATGGAAATTTTCTGTGAAAACTGAAGTCTACATGGCTACTCAGTTCCACTTTACGTTTCTCTGTAACTAGAGCATGAAGTATTTAAGTATTTTATCAGATGCTGGAAAATAGCAGGTTCATTGGCAGAGAGACGAGGGATGCATTCCCTGGTTAGCAGTAAGGAGGAGGGTGGGAATTGCTCAGGTGGGAAGACCTGACAAAAAGATAAGCACAAGTGCATGGCCTTGTGCTGAGTGCTTGGCTGGTCTGGGAGAGGAAGGGATTCTGCTATGGATAGATGGTTCAGCAAGATTATTGTCTCCTGGCAAATCACCTCTCTGGTTGCCAGCTCTGATTCCTGGGCTATCATTGCACAGTTTTCTTTTCCTGCCTGCCCTTCATTCCAGCTCAATATACTGTAGATGAGGGTGTGACCTCCCAGCAGTCTATGCACCTTACTCCCTTCCTTTGGAAAGACAACACTTCCCCTTTAAGCTAAGGCAGGAAAATAATTTCCCATTTTCTTGATGAAGTTCTGTTGCATTCCTCTCCTGTCCCATCAGTTCAGGAATGAGAGCATCATGCTGCTTGTGTCATGAAAAGGAAAGATAATGTTATTTTATTGTATGGTTGTTATGATTATGATTATTATTATTTTATTATTATAATATTTTACTCTGGGTTTTAATTGCACACGCATTCCTTAATCTTTGTGTTATTTTTTTTCGCTTAGTATTGTTGTTACTGTTAATTTTATTACTCTTCATCAGTGGCATCAGAAGGGTTGCTGTGTTTGTGAAATCTGGAAGAGGAAGGGAAAACAAGACTGTCCTGAAAATGAAAATTCTGCCAACAACCTAGGAGAAGTGGGGCTGTTATGTGAGAGCAGTCACAGCTGAGAGGGGTCAGAAGTTACCCTCCATGTCACATCTGCATTTCAGGACAAATTCAGAAATATTTACTCAGAGGTCAAAACCAAACATCTGATAACATAGTTCTCTCTCAGGAGAGCTGAATTAAAGGCAGGTAAGAACCCTGGCACTCTACAGCTCACCACCATTTTGTTTGACAGGTCATTTCCATGAGATCAAGACCTGTGTGTGCTCCAGGCCGTGCTCGTTTGACCCTTTTGATTAACCCAAGAGCACACTAAATACTAGAGGCTCCGTTTTGCTAAAGGTGAAAGCGAATAGATGGTTCTCCAAAGACAGGACTATCTGAGGAACCCAATGAAGGACTCACAGTCTGGTCACTGGATTATCAGCACTGACACATAAGGAAAGCACTAGCTAGTTAAAATA